ATGGGGTTTGGGAATATGAAGTTGATAGAGATAAGAGGCAGCTTGGCCGACTTTAGGGAATATTCCAAAATACAGAGGTGAACAGGTTTTGTTAACTCAGAGTGAAAGTAGATTGGTTCTTATAGTTGAAAAAGCCTTGGATTCGGAAGTAAGAAGTAAAGACTCTAAAGTGATATCCAGAGATTTAATTTTGGATTCTATATAGGTAAAGTGTGTGGACTCTAATCTGGGTAATAAAAGTTGATAGGTGTAGCTAAAGGAATCTGACTTATAATGTAGGTGAAGCCAATACTTAATAGTAGGAAGTTATCAACATGTTCTGGCCACATTCCACACCTGGCATGCATGACCGAGACCTGGGTGCAGGAGGGTGAGACTGTCACCCTTAATCAGCTGAACCCCCACCCCCCCCACCCCGTTTTTCAGTCATTCATCAGTCTTGGACTAGTGGGCAGGAGGTGGTGTTGCTCATCCAGGAGTCTTTATGATTTATGAGCCAGTTTGGTGTAGTGGTTAAGTGTGTGGACTCTAATCTGGGAGAACCGGGTTTGATTCCCCACTCCTCCACTTGCACCTGCTGAATGACCTTGGGCAAGGCGTAGTTCTGACAAGAGCTGTCCTTGAAAAAGAACAGTTTCTGTCAGAGCTCTCTCAGCCCCGCCTACCTCACAGGGTGTCTGTTGTGGGGAGGGGAAGGGAAAGAAGTTTGTGAGCTGCTCTGAGACTCCTTTGGGTAGTGAAGGGCGGGGTACAAATCCAATCTCTTCTCTTCTTCTTCTCCTTCAGGGTCCTCCCTGCACCAAAAACTGCTGGCATTGAATGTGTGGGCCTAGTGTGGGATGCTGAGGACAGTTTGGCTATCTGGCTGGTGTACTGACCACCTAATGCACCAGCGACTACCCTACCGGTCCTGCTGGAGGCAGTATCAGGCTGGGCGCTGGAGCAACTGAGGCTATTAGTCCTGGGGGATTTCATTGTCCATGCTGATGATGCAGCCTCCTCACAAGCCAGGGACCTGGTGTCATCCATGGCAGCCCTGGGTCTCTCCCAATTTGTATCTGCTCCCATACATCAGGCAGGCCACATGCTGGACCTTATTTTTGGTGTGGGGATAGATGTGGCGCTGATAGCCACAGAGTCATGCCATGGTCAGACCACTTTGCCCCAAAGGCCCAGTTGAGTGCTCCAACCCCTCCCTGTTCAGGCGGCGAGCTAATTTATGATAGCCCACAGAGACGAATGGATCCAGTTGGTTCCCAGAATGCTTTGTGGGATTCGATGCCCCCAGGTGACTAGTTAGATGAGCTAGTGGAGAACTGGCATAGCTGGCTCTCAGAAGCCATCCACAAAATTACTGCCCTCTTCGCCCCTCTACCAAGTGAGCTTCATGGTATACTCTGGAGCTGCAGAGGGGGAAGATGCTAGAGTGAGGGTGGTGGCATACTCATGTTTATGAAAGCCTATGAGATGGCAGTGAAGTCTGCTAAGAAGGAATTCTGTGTGGCCTCCATTATATTCGCTAGCTCTCACCCAGCCCAATTATTTAGGAAATATCATAAGGGAAACAAAATGATAAGGAATTGACTGTTAGCTGTGAGGCATTTGGAAGCTACTTCGCTGGAAAAGTCTTGTCACTGCACCATGACCTCCCTGCCATGGTTGAAAGAGTATGTGAACTGGAAGCCCCTTGGCCGTCTCCCAGCCCAGTTTTGGATCATTTCAGCCGACTCTCCCAGGAAGAGGTTGACGATACTTTGGCAGCTGTGAAACCCACCCACCACCTGCCTTCTTGATCCATGTCCATCTTGGGGATTCAGGCTCCAACCTGTCCCTATAGTCAGGAACGTTCCCAGGGTGCCGGAAGGAGGCGGTGGTGCAACCACTCTCTCTCTCTCTCTTTTTTTTAAAGCAATTTTATTGAAGAAAGAATTGTATAGTTTTACAACACCACCAAAATCAATTAATAATATAAGAAACAAAACTTTACATGCATGCTTTGTCTTGATATCTTCTTCTTCATCTTCCTTCTTTCTTCTCCCAAAATTATTACAAAGTATTATTTATAAAGTTTTCAAGCAATCTTTGCTCATTATAGTAATTTACAATATATTAACAAATTAATCTTGAACTAAATTATAACCATAATTAATCTCAGTCCTCGGAGGCCTCAAGGGCCAGGAGGGTAAAAACCCTCCTTCCGGGGACCGATTGGTCCTGGTGGGGACGTACGCAGACATTCACCACAATCCTGCCACTCATTGCATAAGGCAAAAATTATTCTATATTCCCCAAACCCCCAAATTAGTTATTAAAACAATTAACATAACAATGGCGGCACAGCTATGGTAAAGTGCATATGTAAACATCCTACAGTAGTACGATCCACTATCAGCGGGCTCAGGCTGGAAATAGTGTTGGCACAAGGCATAGATGTTGAAATGCAGCTCTTTATCTAAATGCCTGGTGGAAGAGCTCCATTTTTGCGGCCCTGCGGAACTGTGACAGGTCCCTGAGGGCCTAATTTCTTCTGGAAGCTCGTTCCGCCAAGTTGGAGCTGCCACAGAAAAAGCCCTGGTCCTGGTCAATACCAGCCTGGCCTCCTTAGGGCCAGACGATTTTGCGACCCTGACCGTAGTGCTCTCCGGGGAACATGTGGGGAAAGGCGGTCCCTCAGGTATGCCGGACCCTGGCCATGTAGGGCTTTAAAGGTAAGTACCAGCACTTTGAAGCGAATCCGGAACGCTATAGGCAGCCAGTGCAGCGCTTTCAGTACAGTTTGGATGTGCTCCCGCATGGGGAGTCCCATCAACAGCCTGGCCGCCACATTCTGCACCAGCTGGAGCTTCCGGATTTGAGTAAAGGGCAGGCCCATATTAAAGTTTCACAGGGCATGTAAGGCAGAGATGTTCCGCCAGACCTTTGGCAACGGTTCTTTACATCCACCCGGCACCCCCCTTCTCCCCCATGACTGAACGCTAGATATGCCATCATGTTTTTAAAATGTTTTCCAATAGTGATATGCTGAATGTTTTATTATTGAATTTTTATGGTTTTAATGGGTTTTATTGTCTTGAATTAGTCTGTTGTAAACTGCCCTGAGCCCCACGCAAGAGGGGAAGGGCAGTCAAGAAATCTAATGAACTAAAGAAATAAACATGTGCCCCCTCGTCCAGTTAATCTGGGGGCTTGGGCTGGGTCATCACCACTCCGCCCTGGACATGTGGGCTAGGCCTTTGGAGGCTGTGGCTGATGGGCTACAGCAAGAGAGCCAGCTGAAACTAAATTGAGAAAAGGGTGTAACTGAGGAGTGCTTACGTAATCAGAGTCCCGCAGTTGTGCTGCAAAAAAAATGAACCGGCTGGTGCCCAAAGCATCCTGCCCAGGCGGAGGAGGACTTCGGTGGAGGCAAGAGCTGCCGGCCGTCGTGGTGTCTGCATCCAGATCCTCAGCCTGCTTTCCTAGTTGCCATTTTCAGTCCTGACTCATTATCTTGTATATCTTGAAAAGTTGCCCCTTTCCTGAGCCCCTCCTTCTCCCTGGGCTGCAAGCGTTATACCTGCAGCGACTCATCTGTGTGTTCACTGAAGGTAGAGGGGAGCGGGACCAGCACTGCTCTCCCTTCAGCCCAGCCACACTTCTGCGGGAAGCCCCCGTGGGGGCAATGAGGCAAGTGCACAGCAGGAGGCCCCTTTGCGTGTGGCTGGGAATGCTCCATCCTCTAAGCTGTGGAGTCTTGTGAGCAAAAATTCTACTTTGTGAGCGACTGGCATTAAAGTTGTGAGCGAGCCATTTGGCTGCTGCATAAATTAGTTTGTTCTGGAGCCCCACCCTTCCTGAGCTGAGACAAAAATGTGTGAGCTGGAGGCTAAAAAACTGTGAGCTAACTCATACAAACTCAGCTTAGAGGGAACACTGGTCCTGGTCACATGGAGGCGCTCAGACATACGCAGGGGCGCGGGGAGACGGTTCGGCCGAATGGGTGGCTGTTGGGGGTGGGGCCAGGGGGCCTGATCTCATGGTCCCCAATGCACGTGAACCCCACACCGGCAGGCGCCTGAAGAGGCTTCCAGTCATCACTTGCTCTCAATAGTCATCAAATGATGAACATGACTATGTAGCCAGTCTGGTATATCCACGATGGGAAGCCTGAGGTTTGCCTGCTACTTTCCATTTTCAAGTGTACAGTCTAAACATCTTGGCTGTATATGGGGGGGGGGGAGTGCCAGACAGTCCTGTTTATGTCGTGTACTCGTCCCGGAGTGTGAATACCGTCTCCTTGGATTCTGCACAGGTCGATCGGTCAGCATTTAGCGAGCGCGTGTGCATGGGTACCTTTTTTGTAGTTAATTATGCTGCGCTGGAGGGTGGTGTCATGCGGCAAGCATGGCTATCTGAGAACACGCTCTCTCTGCGCCACAGCCTGAGGGAGCTGTGTGCAGTCGCTGGTTCCCACTTCGTGTTTGTTTTAAGCTGCAAAAAATCCGAAAGGATACAGTTACTGTCCGTTTAGTTTGGGTGGGGGGGCAGAAGAATGCTTTGGTATCCCTCATTCTTTGCATTAGAGGGATATCGTCACCCACCTTATAGTTCAAATGCATAAACAGCTAACAGCACTTGACATTTAAAAGCAATTTTCTTGTTATGCACTTGTGTAGTCAAAAGAGTAACACTAATCCTATTAAAGATCTTATGTCATAGGGGAGGGGGGGAAATATCTCTCTCTCTCTCTCTCTCTCTCTCTCTCTCTCTCTCTCTCTCTCTCTCTCTGTTTTAGGGGAAGGTTTGTCCTGATTGGCAGGATGCAAAGCAGGAGGGGAGGGGCTTGTGAAAGGGGGGCGGATTTATGACCTGATATAGTTAGATCAAGGATTTCTGTGGGAAATGCCAGCAGTGGCAGTTGCTGATGATTTCACACTGGCAGCAGTGCGGTGCTGAGGGAGGGAGGGAGGGAGGGTGACCGAGTAGCTGAATGAGATACAGCAAACGGGGAGGGGGGGAGCAGCAGGAGCCGTTGGTGCTCAGAGGCAAGGAGAGAGGAGGGAAAGTGAGTGCCTTAAAGGCGCACTCAGAAAATGCCAAAAGCCCCCCGTGGAAATGGATACAGGGGCCATCTGCTGCCTATAGATCAGGGTTTGTAGGCAGGGCGGGCAAAAGACCTTCGTGGCTCTTTTGAATGAAATGCTGAGGTTTGCATCACAGATCTGGCCGGGCAGCCTGCGCAATGGTGCTGCTGCTGCATGAAACCTGGGCATGTGGATCCCAGGCACGGATGCACCCAGGCCAGCCTGCTTTGGCTTAAGGGTGGTGGAAGAGAGGAAGAGAGGGAATGCAGAGAATATTGCAGTCAACGTCTGGCTCGGGTCGCCTGCTCAAATAAGTGGTTGAAGCCCAAAGAAGCCTGCCAACCTCTCATGAATGGGGGAGCTGACACAAAATGTTGTGTTGACTGCAAAGAAATGCTAAACCTTCCGTCTGAGCACTGTGCAGAGAGAGACCATGGAGAAGTCAAGTAGCGAGGATTCCTCCATTCACCGGAGTCCATCTTTGGACAGCAAGGACTCTGACTCCGCAAAGCCTTCTACCTCAGGCAGGCAGTTTAGTCGAGGCTTTACTGCCGGAGCTTTCTACGGCACTGCTGGATCACGCAAGCAGAGTCACAGCGCAGCTGGAGCAGGGACTGAGGCGGGGACTGGCATGAAAAGTGCGAAGGGCAAAGCACCCAAAGGCAGCAGCAAATATGTGGTCTTTTACCTGGATCTATCCTTTGTTTTCCTTCTAGAATTTCAGAAGTGCAGCATGGCAAGAGGCTGCTTGTGTTGTTTGAAGTACATGATGTTCCTTTTCAATTTAATGTTTTGGGTGAGTACTGCATGTTCTATTGTCTTCCTTCATTCCTGCGGCATTTTGAGCAGAGCGTCTCTTTCCAGCTTGACAGTTAAGATGCACACAGACCCACAACCTCCCGCTCCCTCTCGCTGCTTCTACCTGCACGGGGGAATAACCGCAGTGCCAAATTGAGTCTGCCGGGAGCACAATCATTCCCCCTGGCCCTTTGGTTTTCTTAGCCTGTCCTTTGGCCAGAGAGGACAGCTGTGGGAGGGGCCCCGGGCAGGCAGGCTGCCCTGAAGGAGACTCCCCTTTGGAGTGGTCAGATTGACCCACATTAGCGGTCTTCTGCATTCTCTCTCCTCCCCTCGGGAGCAGCATTCTCAGCTTGCATCTCTCAGCTGCCCCTGTTAATCTGGCTGACTTGCCTAAAAAAGAAAAGAAAGTGAGGATTGGTTTTCCAGGTTCCAGTCTTTCACCTAGCCTGCCCCTTCCTGCCTCGGCCCAAGTGACAAAGGGTTGGGATTCGGCCCCCGCCTCCCGTGCCCAGCTGGCTTTCCTAGGTGGGGAAGGGTCGCAGTGGATCCCGCCAGCCAGCTGGGATTCTCCAGGGAGCAGATTTGGAAGCTCCGGAGGAGGCCATGATGACAAAATGAAGTGACGTACGCATGAGAAACCAGGCTGATAATGTCAGTCAGCAAATTGTTTTAATTAAATAACATGAGGGAATTAATGTAAAGTTTATATATTTGACATATGGATGCAACTTGGCTTGGTTGAGCCAGAGAAAAAGCCAGCAGGTTTGACTGATCAGGAAAAGCCATCCGGATGCCCCTCAGCGGGCAAGACTGGAGGAGGCTGTTCCCTCAAGGTCACCAGCCAGGCATAAAAAGGCCAAGCGGCCCACGATGATCCTTTTCTCACGTGCCTCATGATGGCACAGGAGGAGGGCTGTGCCACGGAGGCTGAAGTCAGAGCTCAGAAGAGGCTTGTGCTCCTTGGCGGCTGCCTCCCTCCCTCCCTCCCTCCCTCCCTCTGGGCGCCAGACTTGCTATGAGGGCAGAAGGGAAGGTGAGAACAGCCCTGGGAAACGGGGGCGGGGGGGCAGCGGGGGCCCCCAAGCAGGACGGCAGCATTGGGGGGGGCGTGTCCAGCCTCTCCTTGCACCACTCCTGTGATTTAAACCCGCCACCCCCAGCATTCTTTGCCCCCACAGGAAGACACATGGAGGTGTCCCGTGGGCACACGCCTCCTCCTCCTCCTGCACTCAGGAGGCAGAAATACTTCATGGGCTGGAAGGCGGGGCAGAGATTAACCTTACAGAGAATTACCCAGATGGAGTGTTTTTTGCTTGTTTTAAGCTCAGGATTGTCTTTTGTTTGACTTCATGCATCACATGTGGTGTTTGCACAACCATCAGAGATCTATGCCACTTGCTCCTGAAGTAATTTCATAGCGTGATCGTTTTGGAGCCCTGATTTGACATGCTTCTTGTGTGAGTTTACTATTACCTCTGTGAGCGGCTGGTGGCTGTTCCATGTTAGAGTGTCATGTGCTTCATACTGTGCGGAACACAGAGAGATCCAAGAAGGTCTCTGAACTGGAAGAGGTTTGAAAATGGTTTAATCTAGTAATTTTTAATACTTTGTGAAGGGCAAATGCTCCACCTTGCATGCTGTTTGGGGACAGCCATGTTTTCATATTCTATTGCGATCACGGGGTGGGGTTGGAGTGGGAAGTGACATTTAACATTTAAAACTCAGTGAAGGGGCGCAAACCATGTGCAATGCTGAGCCCATGTCTTGCTGAAGAGGCTGTTCCCTTTGAACGAAGGAGGCACTTCCGGCTGTTTAGAATTTTTCTTCGCCCCCCCCCCCTTTTTAGGCCATGTGCAAGAGCTCCAAGGGCTGTGGGTGGTCCTAGGATCACAGTTTAAGAATGACTGATCTAGACCAGCCATTTGAATTGGGATTAATGTTACATGCTTCAGATAGTTCAGTTTGGCTGGTGAGTCCATTGAGTTCCACTGAAGAATCTTGCAAACGGAATGCAGGGCAAAAGAATCCCAGGGATTAGAAGGCAAGAATAAATGTAGCATAAGAATTCCATGGGGCTCAGGAGGGGGGGGGGCAAGTTGGGCAACGCGCTGCAGCGGAATAAAACCCTCTCCCCCCCCACGAGGCATCTCTAGGACCGCAGTCACGCTGACCATAGACCGTGCTCGGGTGGCAATTTGCACGTATTTAAATAGCTGGCTTTATATTATGCTCTGTGACACTAAATATTTTATATTCTTTTTTTTTTTTTTAAGTACCGTCTGGTTTACGGGAAGAGTTGAGGTTGAGGCTGCATAGGGCAGCCATTCATGCTTTCATTCCAGTGTGGAAGTGCTGTCATTCCAGGCAGTCCAGCTATTCTGTTCCCCTCCGTTCGATTCCGCCCTGCCCCCCGCCCCCCCATATTGCCACCGTTGTTATGTCCATTCCAGTGTGCAGCGTGCACCCTCATGCTTCATAAACACTTGCAAAGCACTGAGGCCGCGGTCAGTCTCACGCTCCAGCCGGCAAAGGGAGACGGTGGGGGCTGAGGGAGCGCATGGAGGAGCGCAAGGCTTCCGCCTGACAAGGCTCGCAAAACACCCCCTCCCGGCTCGCCATGTGTGATCTGCCCTGAGTCTCTGTGAGAGAGGCGGAGTACAAATAATGCAAATAAAATAAAAATAATAATTTAGCAAACCTGTACTGCTTACCAAATGACCCTCAGCGGGACACTGGGGCTTCTTCGCAGGATGTATGTTGGGATGTGGGTCACGGTCCGAGAGTGTGCTTTCTCAGACCTCCTGGAGTCCTTCCTGTGAGGTGAATCCATCCCAACTCTGGGTGTAGTTCTGCAGCTGGCTTCAAGTGAGCCGAGTAGCCAGCAGTCCTGCCTGCCTGCCCGCATGTCCTACAGCGTTGCAGCCCTGGGCAGAAGATCACTTGCTTGTCTGCTGTGTGCACCTGTGGAGCTGTGTGGCCGCCTGGGTGGCACAGTCTGGAGTTGACCATCATAACGGTGTCTCTGAAATGCTCTCTTGGCATTGGTTCACAGCTGTTCTTATCACTGTAGGCTGCTGAATGTTGTTCTTGGCTGTTTCTTGTGCCCCTGGCTTGTTTTCATGGCTTGTTTTATTATCAATGGTTCTTGCGTTGTTGTTTTTAGAATTTTATTGTATTGTTTTTCTTTTGTGAGGTGCCTCAAGCAGATTTCTGTAGGGGCGACATGCACATGCTCTAAACCAGTAAAGAAATAACCTTTTGGAGGGCCACCACAAACTCAACCTCAAAGAATCCCAGTCTAGAAATGTATGTACGGTTTCCTTGACCTCTGTAGTCCTTTCCAGCTTAGTGAGTTTCCTGGAATGGAGTAGAAGGTTTTTCCAGGTTCTGTTGTTGTAGTAGAGATCTTAATTTATAAATGCTACAAGATTTCATTGTGTTATGATGCTGTTAACAAACCTAAAACTGTATTTTGTCCCATGCCAACTTGGATAATAACTTGTATTCCAAAAATCTACAGAAAAACCTTGGGTTTTGTCACCAAAATCCTCGTCAGCACATATCACTCGCTGTCAGTTATCTGATGTCCGTAGTCTGGAGAATCCGTTGGAGTACCAGGAGATTTCCAGGTCCCACCTGGAGGTTTGTTTGGTAGCCGAGGAATTTTATTATGTATTATTTTGCTTACTGCACTTTTGCCCTGCCTTTCCTCCAAGGAGCTCAGGATAACGTATGTTGTTCTCACCTCCTCTGATTTATCCTCACAACAACCCTGTAAGGTGACTGGTCCAGGCTCACCCAGCAACGTTCCTGGCAGAATGGAAAGTTGGACCCGGGTCTCCCTGATCCGAGGCGGACTCTTTATCCCAGGGCTCCCCAGCGTAGCACCTGTGGGTGCCGTGGGGCCCACCAGTACTTTCCCTGGTACCTGCCAACTTTTTCAGAAAGCAGGCGGGGCCACTCGTGGTTGGGCTTGCTACTGGTGGGAGGACCAGGAGGGACCAGTGTTTCCATCCCCTCTTCTCCTTTGCCTTTCTCCCTTTCTCCCTCCTTTGGATTTCCTCCCCATTCATTTCTTTTTCTTCTCAGATCTTTGTCTTCCTCCTCTTTCTTCTCCTCAGGCTTCCCTTCATTACTTTTTATTCCCTTTCTGCAACTTTTTGCGAAGCAATTTAGGAGACAGAGTGTTCGACAGAAGCCATGTGGGGTTTGGCTCCACCTCCTGCAGAAGCCATTTTGGGGGTGGCGCTCAATTCCAAGATGACCACAGGCTCAGAAAGGTTGGAGGCCCCTGCTGGGACCACTGCAGACTGTGGGTTTTAGACTGTGTGTGTTGGATGAGCAACGCTTACTGCTGGGCCCTTTCCTGCCAAGGCACCGCTTTTTTTGTCGTTCAAGGGACCCACATATCTGAGGGACTGCCTCTTCCTGTACATGCCCCAAAGAGCATGACACTCAATGGACCCGCATCTCCTGGCTGTCCCTGACCAGGGCCTTCTCTGCCCCGGCCCCTGCCTGGCGGAACAGGCTCCCTGTCGAGATCAGGGCCCCCCTGCATAGGGATCTTCTTCGATTCTGCAGGGCCTGCAAGACGGAGCTCTTCCGCCGGGCCTTTGGCTGAGGCAGCAGGCGCCCGTGTGTGTGGGGCCTCCCCGAGGTGGTTCTCACCCACCTACTAAGCCGAGTAATATGCTAGGCAACCTCTCACAGCCAGTTGATTCTGTTAGTCAGTGATTACTGTTTTAATGTTTATCGTATTTTAAATTTTAATTGTATTTATTGTATTATTAATATGATGCAACCCACCCTGAGCCCACATGTGTGAAGGGCGGGCTATAAATACAAATAATAAATAAATAATAATAAGAAGTGACGAATCTGAGAACCTGCGGCACAGGATCTCTCTCCACCTACCGAGGCATGTGAAATTTCCAGACATTTTGAAGTGGGGGGGGGGAGAGTTGGGGAGGGGCTTTTGGAGAAAATTGAGTCATA